AGGAAGCAATTCATCCCTTCCATCGTCACCGGGAGCTCCTCGTATCGGATGATCCGGTGGAAGCGGGGGAAATGATCGCCACTGCGGGGGAGAGAAGCGAGGTGGTCGTGATAGAAGGAGGAGAGGGTGCGAAAAAGCGCCGCTCGAAAGATCTCGAAGTGGCGGCAAGCGGGGATTGTCCCCGTGGCAGCGCAGTAGACCTCTACTACGTTGGATTGCTCCCATGCAGCCCTGAACAGCAAGAGATGCCAGCAAAACGCGGGAACAGTGGACTGAAGGGAGGCGTGGGGGTGGACGGTGGCGAGTAGACGGGTAGAATAGAAGTCGCGGAAGAGATGGGGATGAAAGGGATGGGGAGGGAAGGTGACGGGGGTACGGATATGCTGGAGGGTGAGGAAATCAAGGGGTCGGCGGGACAGCGTCCGAGGACGAAGGTCTATCGCCCACATCGGCACGTGGGCGAACTGAGGGACGGGTGGGGCTGGAGGAGGAGGGGGATCGGCGCCGTCTCCGGCGCGCCGTACTTGAGGTGGCAGCTGCAGGGTCGCCATCTTCTTCTTTGTCGTCATCATCGTCGATCACCACTTCTTCTGCCTTCGGGTAGAAGGCGTAAGGGATGATCTCGTACGGCTTCAGATACTCCTGCCGCGATGGTACCGTATCCTCGTCCCTAGGTTCCTCCAAGCACGAAGTCCACTGAAGGTACGGATCCAGGGATGGTTCGAAAATGTACGAAGCAGGAATGTTGTCACTCTGAAAGTAGATGTCGGGCGAGAGATCGTCCGCCAATTGCACGATCGGTGCAATGAGCTCCTGTGCAATCAACTGACGGCGACCCGGTTGTACCGATCCAAAGAGGAATCCAATAAGATCTCCTTCCGCGTTAGCCCTCCAACCCTGTATGATCAACAGCTCTGGATTCTCGATCCACGTGGGATGCTCGCTAGTGCCCGTCCACGTCACCTATACTCTGGCCAAGCAAAAGGACAGTTCCTCAAAAGTTTCGCGCCACAATTGCCAATGTCCAGGAATGATAAGAGGGACTGAAAGAGGCTCGAACGAGAAGGAAAGAGAAAGATGAAGATCGGATTGTCAGAAGGTTGGGAAGAGAGAGGGGAGACCAAAGGTAGAAAGAGGAGCGAGACGAACAGCGTGGTTCATTGGGGATGGGGGAAGGGGACGATGGTCGGGATCGCAATTGGCCGCTCGCGCGGTGATCGGCGAATACCGTCCAGGTCCAATGCACAGATCGAGATGATGTTATACCCCTCCCGGGCAAGGACGTGCTGCCACACGTTGGACACTTGCTCCGTCCACTCGCGCAGCAAGGCCAAGATTGCGCAGCGGATTGACCGAGTTGATATTGATGTGTTAGATCCTTGGGGAATCCCCTTTCTGGTGAATCCCGCCACTGTGGTGACGTGGCTCGTTTTGGGACCCGCTCGCCGATGAACTGCGGTAACCTCTGCGAATACTATTGCGCGAGGACTTCCTTGGATTCGAAACGTGGCGGCGGCACAGATACCTTCGTCGCGGAAGAATCGCATTAAACGTCGAAGTTTCGTATTAAGCCGAGGGTGACAAACTTGCCGAATCTCTGAGATGTGGCCACGTGGCTGCAACAGCTGAATGTCAAGAACCCGCTCCGTGATAAAACTCATGGCGAGGTCGGAGAGGAGGAAGAGGGAGAGAGACGGGAGAAAGTTAGATCGTCGTCGTTCTCCTCGCTTTCCGAGGAAGACGAGGGAGGACAATCGGAAGGAGGAAGAAGACGGAGGTAGGAGGTATGCCGGACGATGGGGACATAGCTATGGCTGGCACTAGCCTCAGGCGCGACGTGCACCGTGTTAGCGCCGTTGGGTCTAAGTTCGACAACGCCAAAACAACCAGAATACTTGGGAGCGAGTTTTCGGTCGCGTGCATATTTACGTACCTGCACTAGGTCCCCTAATTTATATTGGTACTGGGGCCCAGCGTTTCCATTTCGGGCCTCGTAGATACGGACCTGTCTACCGTGGGCCAACTCGGTCATCCTTTGTCTTTTTCGGGCTAGCTTCGAAACGGCCCGTTCCATCAAATCGGTGTACCTTTTGGCCTTGGCCTTGAGGGTCGCACGTGTGTCTCTACCCCCTGCTTCGGCAATTTCCGAGTTACCCCGATAATCGACACGGGGGAGGCTATTAGTTCGAAGCTGAAAGGGGGTGAACCCCGTAGACTCGTGAGGGGTGGCCCGGTGGATGCCGACAATCTGATATACGATCTCGGGCCAAGAACGCATGTCGTGTGCCGCTAAGTTCCTGCGAAGGGCGGTTTTAATCATACGGTTGGCATTCTCGGCCAACCCGTTCGACTGGGACATGTGGGGTGTCGTATGTCGGAGCGTGACGCCCCTTCGCGCAAGTAGTTCTTCTACCTCACCTTTAAATTCAGATCCATTGTCGGTTAGAATTTCTTCCGTATCTAAATGGGTATAGAGGAACCGTTCGATGTACGTGGCTATTTCTGCGGCCTTTCGGGTCTTACAGGGATAGACTTCGACATACTTGGAAAAGTGGTCGATTAATACTAATAAAATAGAATATTCACAGCGGTTTGGGCCAGGTGGCACGTCAATATCTGTCATGTCCATACTGACTCGCTGAAAAGGACGCTCTACTTCCGTTGGTACGATCGTGTTTGGTCTCCGTATAGGGGCGCGATCAGCGGCACAGACCAGACAGTTAGCGACAATGTATTTGACATCATCTCGTATGTTGGACCAAAACCATCTGTTCTGGTTTACAGTTGCCTCCGTGACACGTATAGCGAAATAAGCGGCCTGTTCCTCGTGAGCATCGAATTCAATCGTACCTCTGGAAGGGATGCGGAACTGTCAGCCACAAACCCGATCCGTCAGTTTTACGTTTTTCCAAATGACCGTTGATCCATCGATAGTCCCGAGATCTCTCGGTCGCCCTACGCCTATCGTGTTTGGTGAGGTGGCCCAATGATAATCCTACTAATTTCGCCAATAAAATTTTATCTGTCCAGACTTCCGCCCGTCGGTATTCTTCGTCGTATTGAGGACCGTCCGTACAGTCGGCCTCGAATCGAACCTTCGTGGGGAGTTTGTTCGTTCTACACACGGGGCACCTCCATTCCTTGCTACTCGTTCGATATCGAACGCAGGCTCCGTGCGCACTATTGACACAGGTGGCACATTCCACCCAATCGACAAATCCGGTCTCGAAGGGATAACAGTCGACCCCGTAAACTCGTGCAATACACGTGCAAAAATAACAGAATTTATCGGGGAGGGTGGCAAAGAAAGCGGAGGACGTGAGAGGGGCAGAATTAGTAGGAGATGGAGTTGCGGAGGCGAGTGGAGTAGCCATGATGTCAGAGGAGGAGAGGATGCAGGGAGGGTAGGACAAAACAATTAGTCCTCGTGCCACTTACTGCTTCGATAAGATCTCCACTTGGTCGTACCGAGGTCCAATTTCCTGTTCGGGTTCGTTCCACGGAATCACCTCCTCATTCTTCGGAACTTTCTCAGGCCGGTGTAATCGTGTCAGTCCGTCCGCATTCCCGTGTCTCTCGTGCTTCCGATGGCGGATGTCAAAGTCCATGCTCTGCAACACCGTTGCCCATCGCCCGATGATGCCCGAGTAATCCTTCGACTTCTTCAGAGCCAACAGGGGCTCATGATCAGTCACCAGGGTGAATTTTCGCCCGTTCAGGTAAGCACGAAAGTGACCGATCCCCCAGAGAGCCGCATAGCATTCGCCCGTTGGAGCGGCGTAATTGCGCTTGCAGGCGGGCACTGATTTGGACGCATACTCCACCACACTCTCGAGTCCGCTCGGTCCCACCTGGGCAAGAATCGCCGAAATCGCCTCTGGCTGCCAGTCAGTGATGAGAACAAAAGGTTTTTCGGGACCCGGTCTTATAAGGACCGGAGCCGAAATGAGAGCAGCCTTGAGTTTGGAAAACGCTTGATCGCACTCCGGCGTCCAGATCAACGCCTGATCCTTGCGCAGGAGATTTGTGAGGGGTCCCGCAATCGCCGCGAAGCCCTTGATAAATCTTCGGTAATACGAGGCTAGGCCCAGAAAGGCGCGAACTTGCATGATGGTGGTAGGTACGGGCGCGTCCCTGACAGCTGCCACCTTCTGCGGCTCCGGTTGGAGTCCCTTGTCTGTCACCACGTGCCCCAGGAAAGAAATGGTGGTGAGGAAAAACTGGCACTTCTCAAGCACCACCTTGAAACCTGCATCTCGTAACGCATGCAGTGCCCATTCGATGTGTTGCACGTGTCCCTCGTAGGAACTTGAATACACCAAGATGTCATCCATGTTTACAATCACGCAGTAGTTGATGATGCTCTGCGCCAAACGAGTTTTCCGTCCAAAGTTCTGAAAAACCATGTTCATGGCCCGCTGGAAAGTCGCAGGGGCGTTGCAGATACCCATCGGACATCGAATCCACTGCCATGTACCCTCGAAAAGCACAAACGTCGTTTTCGGACGATCTTCTTCTCGAACAAGAAGATGATGAAACCCATGGCGAACATCAAACTTGCTGAAAAATCGAGCACTCCCAATCGCATCTAACAACTCATCAATCCGGGGGAGTGGATACACATCTTTGATCATGATATCATTCAATTTTCGATAATCAATGCAAATGCGAATCCCTCCAGCCTTCTTAGGTACGATCACTACAAGGAAAGACCATGGACCTATAGCAGGTTCAATCCATCCATTAGCTTCGAACTCCTTAATCAGTCGAAAAGCGGTCGCTCTTTGAGCTGGCGAGTATCGATAGGGAGCGCAACTAATAGGCGGATGATCTCCTGTGAAGATGGCATGCTCAATTACATTAGTTAAGCCGATATCATTATCATGCATGCTCAGTACTTCTGAGTAACTATTTAACACACAGATTAATGACTTCCGGAGTTCCGCGGGAACGTGACTCCGGAAGGGGATTGTTGATTCCCCGAAAATCTTAAGGGGCATATCGATCCAATCAACCGGCCGTTCCCGTCGATTATGGACACTAGAAAAAACAGAACTACTGGTGCAAACAGAGAAGACAGTTGCTATCATCTGGGACTCAGCGGGGCTGATCATCTCCGTTTCTTTAGTTTCAGCGTCGGTTTCTGAACCGACCGAGGTCGGTTCCACAGTTAGCCCGGTTAGATCCGTCATTTCTTGCATTAGATTAGGTACGTCACTTACCGGTGCTTCCACCTCTTGTTTAATCAAGGCGATGGTGGCTCCAGTCGTTAATAACGATCTGGGCGGAAAAGCGGAGACATCCAAATACTGTTCCGTTTGCTGATAGCGCTTTCGTAAGAAAAGAGCTCCCTCGTACAAGGTGCGAGGGGGTTCCAAATCATCAGCCAGATCTAAGACTTGTAATAGAGGTTCCCCGAGGAGGACTGAAGGACTGACCTGGGCTGTTAGAGGTGTGAATGCACTATCTTCAGAATCCACGTGGAAGCTCCGAGCGGGGCACACTCGAAATTCTTCAGGGGTTTCATGTTCGAAAAGTTCAACCAGATGTTTCCATTCCTCTTCACTTGGCATCTCTTCTTCCTATTCTCGCTCCCTGATTCCATCCCCGAAGCGCGAGGCGGAGCACTCCTCGGGATCAATGTATCGGATCATCCTTATTTGGAGCGAGTTAGGAACCCGTTTTATCGTTCGGGTGGAAACCCGCAAAGGAACAGTCTGAGGCTTTCCCCCAGTTTGTGTGAGCACCAGTTGCTTCAAATCGAAATGCAGGCGTGCGCCCACCGCCATTGCCCAAGGCAATCCCAACAATACAGAGTAGGAACGTACATCTATTACAAGCGCGTTAACAAGGACGTGTACTCGTCCCACTTTTACAGCTACGTTCTCGATAACGCCTACGATGTTCATTGCTTCCTTGTCGGCAGAGACATAGTTGTCTTTGCTAGATTGAGGAAGAATGGATCCAAGTCGTCCCGTCTTTTTGACAGTATCTAACGATATGGCCACTGCGGAAGACCCTGTGTCGATAAGGGCGTTAAACGGCTTACCCCAAACTTCACAGTCACATTCCGCACTTTTCCATAGTACCGGTCGAGCTCGTACGAAGTGGTCCTTTTCTACGAACGAGATTGCTGCTATACGTGCGGCTTCGGGTTCAGATTTTTTTGAGTCTGGCTCAGGAGGCGCAACTTCCTCACCTTCCTCCTTCTTCATCATCCATTGTATGCGCTGATAGGTGAAGCGCTTTTGATTTTTCTTGCAGTGTTGTAAAAGTTCATCGTTCGCTGCTTCAGATATAGTGAGCAGATGTCCTACTGGGATAGGAACGTGAATATCTAATTGCTTGAGCGTTTTCAATACATCAATATCCCATGTCCGAAACTGCGGTCCAGGATTGGACTCGCGATCGACCCATTCGAGATCATTTTGGGCCGATCAGATCGCCCCGATCATTCCGGCAAGATGGAGATACTCGAGGGGATCGACCATGTCAGCAGCGTCAGAGGAAGAAGCTCCTGATGTCGACGCCATTGTCGTCGAAAGGGAAGGCTGCTCCGGGGCGTATGCCACGAGTTCTCTTCCTTGATCCGTATCCATCAGAGTGGCCACTCGTCCTTAGTTAAGGGCGACAGGGGCCGCAGCAGGGGGAGGCTGACTACGTTTCGGCGCGGACAGTCACGGGCGAAGTGCCCGGGCTGTTTGCAGTTAAAACACTCGATCTTTCCAGCCGGATTAGGTAGAGGGGGAAACTGAGGGGCAAATCTTGGAGCAGGCGGAGCAGGTAAGAGCGGAAACGATGCGAAGGCAGGCCGGGCAGGAGCTGGGTTAATGAGCTTACTCATTATCTGTTCCATTCGCTCCATGTGCGCTACCTGCAATTGGATCAAGTTGCTCATCCATTCGGACTGCTTGGTGGTGGCCGTATGGATCATCTGGGCGAGATGCAAATTGGTTATGGCTGGCGAGGGGGGTTCAAATGGGGTTCCGCTTCTAACGGCTGCGATTAATTGATTCACCGGGGGAGATGGAGGAGAAACAGTCGGAATATCGAAAACAATCCCGCCGGGAAAATCATGGTCGGGGCGGGGATAAAATCGTTTGACTGCTTGTAGCCATGATCGCCTTTTGGCCGTTACATCCCGTATGGTATCTGTAATGTCCTCGTCTGCCTGGCTGATATATTTTTTTGTGTCAGCCAAGTCTAGCTCCAACGCCTAGTGATGATAGCTGATAACTGGGTTGTTTTCGGCGGAACCTTTTTCTGCAGTTTCCCTTTCAAGGTCGGACTTCGAAGGTGATCAATAAACAAGTCTCGAGCGGAATTCTCGTCTCGCCCGGATTTATCCAACGTGGTTTGAAATCGATCGACGAAATCGGGCAATAATTCTCCTGGTCCTTGTGATCGATTTTTGAGTACATACCAGGCGGCATCTTCACTAACCGTATCGAATCGACCCAAGAATGCTCGCTTGAAAGTATCCCAATCTACCCACGTATGTTTTCTAAACTAGTCATGTGATGTGTTGCGAAGTAGTAATATCAGAACACGGGGAAGATCGACTGCGCTTTAGTTTTGAGCTTCGACAGCTTCCAGCCAAGCCCCGGGATGGGTATGGTTAGGGAAGAAGGGAAAAGGGGCAGGGATGCTAACGATCACCCAAGTACCGTCCACCATTGGTACTGCGGGTGCAGCCACACTAGACTGGCACCTGGTTACGAGGCGATCTCTACGAGCTAGTTGAGGGTCTCTCCTACCTCTCGCCAGTTCGACTTACTATCATCAGAACCGACACGTGTCGGCTCCGATACCAACCTCACGCCCCGTGCTGTCTTTCGTTCGGAGTGTGAGACGTGCGGAAAGAGGCCCAGAAAAACAGTAAGATGGGGTGTGCCAAGGATTTTTGGGAAATTGAGTGTGGGGACACAGATGGGACTGAAATCCCCCGTGATAGTCCAATGAAGCAAGTCGATTAGTTTCGCCCGTCGCAGAATGCGCGCGCGAACATGGCGTGAAAACAGAAAGATCCAAATTCAATCCAGAAAGTACTGTCGGGCTTCCCACCGGGCTACAGCCCGTCGTTTAGAACGGAAAAGCTCTGGCACGCTTCGCGTGTCTCGTTTTCGTATCAGTTCTCGTCGTCGATCGCTGGTCAGTTCCGAATCCGCCGTGGATGGTCTCAGCCGAGTGGCTCTTTCCTTATGCTCGTCCTCACTCCGTATTCGGTAGTGGAAGCCCTTCGCTTCGTAGCGATCGAAACACTGGCACTCCATGCACAGAGTGCGGGGCCAATGGGGCGCCACTGCTGTCCACGGAATGACGATCAGCTCGTTAAACGGCAACAATATCGAGTAGGGTGGAAAATGCGTATCGATAATGACAAATCCGGCGTCTACGAACCCAGAACAACGGCTGGCCGGAGGGAAGTAATACTGCCCGCCAATTTGTGCGACGGCTTCTCGTACGTCCCACTCACATACACGTGTMCTTTCCTCAYCGTAGGGAAAAGGTCGCGTTGGGATGGGAGGTGCGGGAGGCTGGCGCCCAATCGAGGGGTGCTTGTCAGTCCACATATCAATCAATCACATATATCCAGAGGCGTCATTAAGAACAAAAATCATTCATGCGACCCTCAATCTACCCTTCTTTACACACGAGGGAGCAGACACACATCAGCTTGATCATGCATAGGGCTAAGGGACCGACCCGCGACTCAGTTCAACACAACGTTGGTTTCCGGCRCCTTGTTTCTCAAGGCCGCCTGGTGGCGTGGCTGCTGATGTCGTGCCGCATAAGGCAGATGGCATGCGCAGTGCGTTCGGGACTACAGATCTAAACACTCTTGTATTCTCGAACAAAATCCCGACGACACTCGTCTATTCAATCCGAAAAGTCACGCATCTCTATACATGCATTCACTGGGGAAGGTGCGAAAATGAGACATTCACAGGAAAAGATGGATCGCATTGCACAGTACACACGCATCCACCGTTCACAAGACAAGTAGACGGGGTCCTTGCGTAGGAGGATTACCCAGGAAACTAATGGAAGAGTTCCGGAAGAAGTTCTTTCACACAGAAATAGGATGCCGACTCATTCCCATTCAAAAGAGGGACAATCATTCAGACCCATCGTCTTTCGAGAAGAAAGAAAGAGAGAGAGAGAGAGAGAGTCGAGGGAAGGTCCAAAATAGAAGATGACAAGATCCAGGAAGAGAAAAGTTCGGCGTCACCGCCATACACTCACGCCAAAGATAACAATCCGCAACAAAGGCGCATTCGCCGTTAATTCCAAAATGGCCCTGGGCCAATCAACTCAACATCGATCCTCGTACCCACACCGACGATCCTGGCCGTTGCGTGCTACTCCCACCACTGCGATCGTCACCCCGCTGTCGCAAACTCGACACGGTTCACCCAGATCCCACAGTCCGTCGTGGCGATCCAGCGCGCAACCGGCCCGTCTATCGTCGGACCGACAGGACTTTCCGAATCGCTTCAAACACTCTGCCTAGCCACTGCTTCCCGGAAGCTGGCTTGAGAGTCGAGAACGTAAGAGAGATTTGCGGGCGCGCTTGCGGGTTTTATAGCTGCGAGAAAGGAGATAGAAGAGGGAGAGAACGACGGGAAGGCGGGGGTGTAGGAGGAAAAGGAGGAGAAGACTTTGAGAAGAGTGCTCTACGAGCGCCACGTTGATTCCTCGGAACTCAAGGTTCAATCAATCAGATTCGTTGCGCGATAGAAAGGTCCTATCGATCCACGCACCTGATTGGCGAGCGGGAGTTATCGGGGGATCGACCAAGCGTCGTACGTCAGACTTAGAGGGTGAGAAGAGAAAAGGCGCGAGAGATGGCGCAAGACGGGTCCAAGATTCAGATGATCAAGAAAGGGAAATGGGCGCGCGAAAGCAAGGCGGAAGAGAGAGGGGGAGAAGGAAAGGGAGGCTCGGGAGGGGGCGATGCGGGGGACAGAGAGGAGGAAGTTTTTGCATGCGCGGCGTTGTCAACAAAAAAACAGAAAAAAGGCACCGAAACAGTTACAGCTTGCTTCTATCCTAATTCAAAATTGAAATCACCATATCCGCACGCGAAAAAGCAACGCAGGAAAAGAAAATCCTATGCCTATTCGTATTTACGCAAAATTCCGAGAGTTTTCCCCGACGCGCCCAAAAACATTCACACACCCAAAAAGGACACGTCGAAGTTCCGCTTATCCCGGAATTCCCAACTACCGAGCCCAATTCCCAACGCGCTCGCTAARGCGTGCACAAATTCCCATGTAYTTCCCGACTTTGCAAAAAGAAAAACAGAACTCAGCAGTCGAAAAAGCTCTCAAAAAGGGAAATGCAGCACCCGAAAGCAAGAATCAAAACGGGGTTTTTCTTGGGGTTGGTACGATACAAGCAAAAGAAAGGGTACGAAAGATAGCATGGGTTCGTGAAGTGGTTCGTCACACACGTAGCATCTCTTCATGCACACGTACCAGGCATATATGTATGCATTCAACACACGTAGCACACATGCATGCGTACGTGGCATATACGCATGCATGCATGCATAAGTAACCTTCATGCATCCATAAGTAGTCTGCATGCAGCACATGTAGCATGCATGCATGCAACTATTGTGAGCAATGGGGATGTACATCTGCAGAGGCAGTCACATCTACAGATATTGTGCACTGCGCTGCCATTTTTAAGCAATTTTGAGGGATACGGCACCTGCAGAGGTG